TAAAGTTATGGATGTGGTTGCTAAGAGTGGAAAATGGCACTTTATTAAAAAAAAATCTTAGACATGCCAGATAGTTGAAAAGTGAGCAGCAGGTGGAAGACGACTTGTAAGGAAAGGTTGGAGGAGAAGTCGGGAACGAGTAGATCCATTTGCTTATCTCCATTGACTAGAAGCAGCAAAGGAACAAGGCTGAAATATGTAGGCTGCTGCTGCATATTCCTTCTCTTCCCAAATGTTATTACATTTATGGTGCTGAATTGTAAACTTCTACCTGTAATTCTCTGCTGGGAGATGGGAGAGACGAACATCTAAAGCTTATGAGACAAAAACATGAACAAGAGTTGCTTAATTTAGGTATGGCTACCCTAGAGAAAAGAAGGACTAAGGTGGACATGAAAGCAGTATTTGAGGGGCTGCCATAAAGAGGAGGGGGTCGGTTTATTTTCCAAACCACCAGAAGATGAGACAAAAATCAATGGGTGGGAAAGAAATCAAGGAGAGAAGGATCCGGGAATTAAGGAGAAACTTCCTAACAGCAAGGACAATTAACCAGTGGAACAGCTTTGCCTTCAGAAGTTGTGGGTGCCCCATCACTGGAGGTTTTTAAGAAGAGACAAGACAACCACTTATCTGAAATGGTAGAGGGTCTCCTGCTTGACCAGGGGGTTGTGTTAAAAGACCTATAAAAGACACTTCCAGGTCTATTCTGAATTTTGAGATTTGGGAGAATTTTTTTTTATATTGCCTTTATTTTTCATATTTCTAACCACCCATCTCTCTCTGTCTTCTGGATTCCGTGTGACTTTATTGACATATTGTTTTCCTGGCAAGCGAGTAATTTCATGGGCAAACCAACCAACCAACCCAGCAGAGACCAGGGGTCAAGCTTCATTCTTACAGCTTCCTTAAATTCCAGAGGCAGGTTTTGAGCAGTTATCCTGGGCCCCACCCACGAGGAAAAAGTGCCTGGATCCAATGTTTTTCTCCTTTCCAATTTGCACGTCGTCCGTTCCGTCGCGCCCCCCGCCCCCATATACATAGGAAACTTTTATTTGGTTTAGTTGCCATTTCTGGCAAACGAAGCTTCAGGCTCAGGTCCAGGGCAATGGATGCCCTCTTGGGGGACCTGAAAGAAAAGGTTTTGGGGATGGATCCGCAGGGAGAAAAGCTATCGATGAGCTCCATGGGAGTCGAATGGGACTTAATGGCACTTAAGGAAGCACCGAATCAATGAGAACATCTTTAAACACCTTAGGGTAGAACGAGCATGTTCTTCCGCCTTCAGACGCTAGATGGCGTTCTACAAAGAAGCAACACTTGCGCCAAGAAAGTAGGTATGGTGCAGCGGCGGCCGAGCTATTCTAGGGAGGGAGTGTGGGGGGAGAGGCAGGGCTGGAACGAGTTGAAACGATAGAATATTGGATTGCCAGAGAGAATATGAAAGAGAAGAGGTGAAGAGCAGAGGAACTTCCTCTTCCGGCTCATCCACGGGAGTAATTTGGTGTCGCCGGAGCCTCTTGTGCTGTTTGGAGGGTCGAAGCGGCTCCTGGGAGGTGAGTGGAGGGCAGTTCGGAGGAGAAGCAGGGAGCAAGCCTTTGGGTTTTATTTTATTTATTCATTTATTTTTTATTTGTTAACAAGTAGAAGAAAACAAGTATGAAAACGCATGAAAAAATGGCACAAATCGACGGATATAAATAAGCAAAACATAGCCATAAACACATAAAAAGAGCACATATAAATGAGACAGTAGGGCAGGGATGGTAGGCACTCTGGTGCGTTTATGCACGCCCTCTTGGGGACCTCTTAAGAAATAAGGGTAGGCAATTTAAGGTAAAAGGTTACAGGGGTTAGAGGAACTAACAATAGGATCAGGTTGGGTGTTCCACACGTTTACTACTCTATTGCTGAAATCGTTTTTTCCTGCAATCAATATTAGAACGGATTACCTTTAGTTTGTATCTATTGATAGCCTTTGTGTTATTGCAGTTGACGTAAAAGTAGTCATTAACAGGTAGGACATTATGGCAGATTATCTTGTGCCCTTAAGATCAGGTCGGAACATAGATGGCGTAGTTCAAGGTTATCCAGGCCAAAAAATTTCAAGCCTGGCGGTATACGGAATGTTATTACGAGCAGAGGAGTTGAGTACTCTTCTTGTAAAATACCTCTGGACCCTCTCTAATGTTTTCATGTCTGAAATGCAGTGTGGGTTCCAGGCAGGAGAGCATTATTCAAGTGTAAATCTGCCAAAGGTTTTATATGTCCTAGTGGGTTTTATAGTGGCGAAGCAAAGGAAGCAACGAGGCTGAAACATGTTGAATGCTGCAGTATATTCTTCCCCTACTTCCCCAAATTTAATTCCTTTGGGGCTGCACACTTAGAACTGCTGTCTGTGATTTTCTGCTGGGAGATTTAGGACACTTTAGTTTTCATAATTCTTAATCGCCCACTTCTCTCATCCTTCACGTTACACTTGATTCCTTGTGATATTATTGACATGTTGTTTTAATGGCAAGCGAGGCGTTTCATGGCCAAAACAGATGTTTTAAATGTTGCATAGGTTTTGGGCACCATTGCATCTGTTAGTCTCCCCACCTTGCTAAAATTAGATCAGAAAATTTGCAGAAAATGCACTTCTTGGACATTTTGCAGACTGAAATAAATATATATTGTTTACAAACATAAACTCATAAGTATTTCTGCATAAATATGCATGCATATCTATCCAATCCAAAAAAGAATTCTATCACATGAAACTCCAATTTTGGCGATTATTTGTTCATGCAAATGTATGGGTTGTTATTGTTGTTGTTTTGCTGCTTTCTCATGTTCGGGACTAATGTTTAAACAATAATGAAACTTAACACATTAATATATATCTTACAGATAAAGGGGATGCCAAGAAGAGCACTTTTGACAACAAAGAATGAGAAGCAGTATTAAAATGTAAAATAAACCATCAATCAAAATATTTTCCATCTCCTCTGCAAATGGTAAAAACAAACCTTCTTCCTCAACAGATGAGAGGCAAGTGAGAGAATAAAACCAATAATTTTTTCACCTGAAAGAAATATAGTACCTGGAACTCAAGAAAACATTACATGAAAACTCAAAGGAGATAATTTCCATATAAAGAAAAAGAAGTAAATACCTGGAAGTAAGTGGAAAGAAAAAGGTCCCTTGGATAGCCAAAATGGGCAGGCATTAATTAAAGCCTTTGAGAAAGAAAATAATGGCTTGAATCAAGCAACTTCCAAATAAGAGATCACAAATATTTTTTGCCTCCTCAAGAATTCAAAAATATCAGTTTTGGGGGGGAAAACCCCCCATAGACTTCCCATTGTGGAAAAAACACAGCTGATCACAGCTGATCCACCCAGTGAAAAATGATACAAGTATTTAGCATGTAGCAAAAGCCTTTCCTCAGAAAAGCTTCCTCATGATTCATTGAATGACCCATACCGGAGAAAAAAAATCTACCAGTGTTGCCAATATGACAAAAGATTAAGTATGAACACCAATGTAGTAAGATACACAAGGGCTCAGGCTGGGGAGACAAACATTGAATGCCCTGTTTGTGGGAAAAGATTCACACAGAATTCTGATCTGGTGTTACACCAGAGGACTCACATGCAAGAGAAGCCATATAAGTGTACTGACTGTGGAAAACGTTTCATTTGGATTTGTCACCTGAAGATACACCAGATGACTCACAAACGAGAAAATCTATATGAGTGTCAAGTTTGTGGGAAAGGTTTTAATTGGAATTCTCTCCTGGTGGAACATCAGAAGACTCACACAACAGAGAGACCATATGAGTGTCCTGATTGTGGGAAAGATTTCTCTCGGAAATTTAACCTGGTGAAGCATCAGAGGACTCACACAGGAGAGCGACCATATGAGTGTCCAGATTGTGGGAAAAATTTCTCTCAGAAATTTAACCTGGTGAAACATCAGAGGACTCACACAGGAGAGAAACCATATGAGTGTCCTGATTGTGGGAAAGATTTCTCTCAGAAATTTAACCTGGTGAATCATCAGAGGACTCACACAGAAGAGAAACCATATAACTGTCCTGATTGTGAGAAAAGTTTCAGTCACAATTCCTACCTGGTAAAACATCAAATGACTCACACAGGAGAGAAACCATATATCTGTCCTGATTGTGGGAAAAGTTTCAATCGGAATTCCTACCTGGTGAAACACATGAAAACTCATACGGCAGAGAAACAGTATGAGTGTCCAGAATGTGGGAAAAGTTTCAATCAGAATTCCTTCCTGGTGCAACACCAAAATATTCACACAGGAGAAAAACCATATAAGTGCCTGGATTGTGGGAAAAGATTCAGTTGGAATTTCCACCTGGTGATACACCAGAAGACTCACACAGGAGAGAAACTGTACGAATGTCCAGAATGTCAGGAAAGTTTCACTATTAAGTCTGAACTGGTGAAACACCAGAAGACTCATAGAGGAGAGAGACTGTTTGAGTGTCCTGATTGTGGGAAAAGCTTCCCTCGGAATTCCAAGCTGTTGAGACATCAGAGAACTCACACGGGAGAGAAACCATATGAGTGTCTGCATTGTGGGAAAAGTTTCAGTCAGAAATCTAACCTAGTGGTACATCAGGAGACTCACACAGGAGAAAAACCATATCAGTGTCCAGATTGTGGAA